AACATAAACTAGAGACAGGACATAACTTCGACTTTGACAACACCACAATATTACAAACACAATTTAACTACAGAAAAAGACTAATTGCTGAGATGATCGAAATACAAAAAGATAAAAATTGCGTCAATAAAAGAACAGATATACAAAATTTAAGTAACGCCTATTTTAACATTTTATCAACAACAAAATAATCATCACAAAAAAGCTTTCATATTAGTGTTTTTTGATTCGGATGCCATTCCCTACTTGGTTTTTCTTTGTTTGCTCCCACGAACGATAACACTATTTAATTTATTATTGTAATAGTAACAGCTGGCTGTGTCTGTCTTATATATTTTATTTTAAAATCATTTACTTTTTAAGTTTTAATGTGTGATTATTTTTTTATAACGTTTTTGTGATATTTTTTGATAAGTTTTAAACTGTACCATGTATGTGAATGTAACGTCTCTTATGAATCTGTACCTACCTAACAACTTCGTATATTGTTCATGTTATGACATAGAAAGTCAATCTCAAATGTAAGTTCCCAATACTATAAACATAACTGGAGTTGTTAGGACTCTGCACAATAACATTCTCTTACCATTTTGTAGTGTCCTGAAGATGCAATAATATATTGCGAAACGTCGACAATCTGAAATAACAGACTTCTGTTGTTTTATTTCGATCCAATCCCAAATAAAACCTCAACCAATTATAAATAAATAATATTATGAAACGCCTTTTTCGTTTTCATTATAATGGGCACAAAATCCGTACCTGTAAACCTTTGAGTGGGTATTAAGGAACCCGGTACCTACATAAAAGAGCCTGGTACCTACACAATAGAGGCTAATAGCTATCTAATTTATGGTAGGGTTTTATAGCCGTGAAGTCAACGAAATATTTTGGAATGGACTTTATACAGGGGTTTTTAAAAGTGCCGGATCTAAAAATTTTATTTGCAACGTTGTCAGAACTACAGATTTTCCGATAAATCTCTCAACTTTAGATTTCTAAATGCAAAACTATAGTAGTTTTTCATTTAAAATGTTGGTCAAGCCGAAATTTTTTCAATCCTAAAATATCAAATTTTTCTTTTGTGATTTTTAAAAGATAATATGGCAATACTGCATTTTCATTTAAAAGAACTGAAATGGTAAAATATCTCAGCAACGGCTTAATACAACGTTATGACATTTGGTATACAGACGGTTTTAGAAGTGCCAGATCTAAAAATAATATTTGCAACATTGCCAGTTTTACAGTTTTCCCGATAAATATATCTCAACTTTAGTTTTTTAAATGCAAAACTATGATAGTTTTTCATTTAAAATGTTAGTCAAATCAAAATAATTTTAAGTCTATATTATTAATTTTTTCTTTCTCGCATTTTGAAAGATATGGCAATAATGCATTTTCATTTAAAATAACTGGTACGGTCACCAATGGCGTAACAGAATGTAATGTTTTCAGGAATTATTTAGTTAAGTGTTTAAAACCCAGACTTTGGAAATTTCAGATTTTTTTTTATTAAAGTTCTTTTTTTTCATAAAATATTTTAAACAGTTAAAGATAAGGCAACTAAATTACGAATTATTTAAGACCTTTTTTGACCCGACACATTTTAAAAACTTCTAGAAATTTTAACTTTACATTAAATTTTTATTTGCTTTATCCTAGCAATGTTCCTATTAACATTTCTACAAAAACAACTAGGTCGTCGGAAAGCAGAAGGCTCGACAAAAGTAAAAAACATGTATTAAGTGTTTGAAAATATTGGACAATCTTTGCCAAGTCTGTAATAACTCACGTATAGTGTTATAGTGAAATTTCATGTCAAGTTGAAATTTTTAGATTTTTTAAAATTTTCTATTTTACCAATTGGGTCCAAAAAGGTATTAAATGATTCGTAATTTAGTTATCTTTAAGGATTGGATATCATACGGTCCACGGTCCACGGTAACATGTCAGAATTTAAGAAAAAAAATCAAAATACAAAAAAATATTGAAATTTTGAAAAAGTCGAAACACAGTTTTTGAATTCTTCCGGAGCTGTTCTACCTCACTAAGTATGAATTCTAATGATTGTTTAGTTTCCGAGTTATGGATTTTTGAGTATTTAAAATATTTTATAAAAATCGGAACTTTAATAAAAAAAAGTCTGAAAATTCTAAAGTTCATTATTTAAACACTTAACTAAATAATTTCTAATAATATTACATTATGTTATGCTATTGGTAAGATATTTCACCGTTCCAGTTCTTTTAAATGAAAAAGAATTATTGCCATATCTTTAAAAATTCGAAAAAGAAAGAACTTAGTAACTCTAGACTTTGGTTTGACCAACATTTAAATGAAAATCTACCATGGCGAAGCATTTGATTTAAAAGATTTATCGGAAAAATTGTAAAACTGGCAACGTTGCAAATATAATTTTCAGACCCAGCACTTTTAAAAACCTCTGTAGGTATACCAAATGTCATAACGTTGTATTAAGCCATTGCCAAAATATTTTACCATTTCAGTTCTTTCAAATGAAAATGCAGTATTGCCATATGTTTTAAAAACCACAAAAGAAAAATTTGATAGTTTAGGATTGTAAACACTTTAGCTTAACCAACATTTTAAATGAAAACCTACCATAGTTTTGCATTGAAAAAACTAAAGTTGAGAGATTTATCGGAAAAACTGTAAACCTGGCAACGTTGCAAATATTATTTTTAGATCTGGCACTTTTAAAACCCCCTGAATACCAAATGTCATAACGTTGTATCAAGCCGTTGTTAAGATATTTTACCATTTCATTTCTTTTAAATGAAAATGCAGTATTGCCATATCTTTTGAAAACCACAAGAGAAAAATTTGATATTTTAGGATTGTAAACACTTTGGTTTGACCAATATTTTAAATGAAAAATTACCATAGTTTAGCATTAAAAAAACTAAAGTTGAGAAATTTATCGGAAAAACTGTAGAGCTGGCAACGTTGCAAATATTATTTTTGGATCCGGCACTTTTAGAAACCCCTGTATACCAAATGTCATAACGTTGTATTAAGCCGTTGCTAACATATTTTACCATTCCAGAGTTTGGGGATTTGTTAAAAATGATAAATACAGGGAGATACAAAGTGTTAGGACAAGATTAAGTACTTTATTAGGAATACCCACTACCGAATACCATCATTCCTGCAGACTTGTTGTCCGCACTTGCTTTAAAGCCCTCTCAATATCGGTTGGGTCTATGACAATGCTTGAAACATTCTCAAATCGATCTGCAAAAGTTCTGGCGTTGGAATTTTTCTGGGGGTTATAGATAGAGGAAAAATAAGCACCAAAAAGATTAGCTATGTTAACACCGTTGGACGCTATTTCTGTCGCCAGAAACACTTCCTTAGGAATAGTACCTACCCTGATTGGATTGGGAATGAACAAAGTTCCAGAAGACTTTCACATTAGTGCCTTGCCTATGGCCCTTTCAGTATCACTTATGTCTAATTTGTAGCACTCCTTGGTAGGGTTTTTACAATCCCTTCGAAGTGTATTTGATTGAATGCAAAATAATCAACTCCACTATACGAGTTCTTGTATTTGTTTGTGAGCAATTTTCTTTTGAAAAATCAGATTTTTTAGTTAGTAAGAAAACCAGATAGGAAATTTATAGCTATAACAATGTCTCTTTGTGGGGACAAACATATTAAAGCTGTCGAACAGCAAGCTCCGAGGTAATAAACCAGAGAAATCCTCACTAGTGGACCACGTTATTTGAGAAAGATTATAATCTCCAAGAACAAGCACATTATCAAACATATTTCACAGGCACTCGCAACTGATTTCAAGTATAGTTTTCATAATACGAAACATCCATGGCTGCCAGAAGCAACCCACCTCCATGGCTTTTAGCACTGTTTAGACTGCTCCTATCACAACGATAAACCGTGTAACGTGAGTCAAGAAATTCAGAATCACAGATACTACAGTCCAGCCAGGTTACCGTAAGTGAAATCACTGAGAAAGACGGCGCGAGCAGCACAGAAAGCATCTTTGAGTTTAGTTTTTAGGCCTCTTACATTTTGGTACAGAAAGGTAGCACAATCTAATGAGACTGCAGGTATCCTCTTTCTCCCCTCTGAAAACTTGCAGTGGAGGGTTTCGCCCCCATGCGACAAGGATGAAACTCTTCGACAGCAATAATGCCTACAGGCCAAAGTTTTGGATCTAGCAGGCCCTTCAAAAGTGATTCTTTGACTATAATTTTAAATGAAACCACATCGTCATTTCCAAGTCATTTTTGTCCAATACCGAGCATTTGACATCAGAAATGGAAAGCTGATCCTTCCTTCAAATAGTCAGAGCTCGGTTTTTCGGTGGTAGGTACTCGGATCACATCGACCCAGATATAGCCACTGACTCCTCTCACCTGCAGAGAAAAGACCATCAAAAGACCTCTGTCGGCACCGCCGGTACCCAGAAATACAGGATTGTTATTTGTAAGACTTGGCACTGAGGTAAGTTTGAATAAATAGGTTCGAAATGACTTACTCTATCACCTCCCAAAATATATGCATCGACCTACCAAATACCACCTATATTGCAACACCCAAGAGTTTTGTATATGCGTTGAAGCGCATGTTTAACATATACCGCCATTTTATCTACGAAATCAATTCCTTATCAGAAAACAAAATTGATAACTACCTACCTAGAAAACACATAAAATTCAGATAATAATTGTGATTGAACATTGAACAACATCCACTTAAAATCTAAATTATCTATATTAAAAACCTGTTAACAAAAAATTTATCAATATCGAATTAATAATTGCAATGGGGCCGGTTTTAGAAATACTAGAATCAAAATCTAAATCACCAAGAAGCAGTCAAACCCCAGAAAAATTGCATCAAACAGTTAAAGTGCAATTTATTTTCTTATCAACTTTCCCCTGTATAATTAACATAACCTTTGCCTGGCGGTGCTTGGCCGACTCACTCTCCTTTATCTTTGTTCGTGATATAGGAGCAAACAAAAACAGACAACCCAATGTCGGTCTACCATAGACATTCCGATCATTGATCCATGTTATTTACATATACGCGAGAGTAAACAATATTTAAGTGATAATTAAATTACTAATAATTTCGCCAAACAATAACAATGGTCGGGTGCGTCTTGGTAGTTTAAATAGTGAATTTTAAAACAATTGCTTACATCAAAATCTATCATGAATTTGTCTGCAATCAGACTAGTGACGTTCGATGTTACCGGGACGCTTTTAAAACTACGCTCGGCACCCGGTCAGCAATATGGTGAAATTGGCGCTATGTACGGGGTGGTTGCCGACAATAATCTATTGAATAAAAATTTCAAAAATCAGTTCAAACGGATGGTCAAAGAAGAACCGAATTTTGGATTGAAATCTGGACTCGGATGGGAATCATGGTAAATATAATATCTACGTTTCTTAATGTACTTCATACCTACTTTCAGAGCTGAGCTTAGTACTCAGCAAATGTACTTGAAGTATTAAGTATTAAGTATTAAATATTTTAAATATACCTATAGTATTAAGTACAATATTTTTCTAATGTACTTAAAGTATTAAGTATTTTACCTAAAGTAAAAAAAAAACAGTATAAGTATCAGTAGATACTTATTAGTTTCAGTATACGGTATTTAGAGTATCTTTTATATGCATTTAAATACTTATAAATACTTTAAGTACTTGGAGTATTTATCTTTCTTGAGTACTTATAAATCTATCCTAATCAATAAAATGAAATATTAATGCTATTTTCTGTTTTACTACTTTTTTTTCTAGTGAAGACTATTGTTTATTTATAATAATTAAATAATTAGTTCTGACATGCTCAAAGGGATGCAACTACATCTGTTTTTTTTTGCGTCACGCGCATTATTTCCTAGAAAATAATTAAATTAGATATACCAAAAAGTACTTAGAGTACATATTTTAAGTATATTCAAGCTTTAAGTACATTCTTAAGTAGTAAGTATTACTTAAAATAAATTGCCAAATTTGGGTACCAATACAAGTACTTTTTTCAAATTGTATTGATTATTTTTTCTCAAGTACTCTTCTTATAAAAGTACTTAAGTAAAATACTTGAAGTATCAAATGTACTGAATATTTTACTCCAAGTATATTTTTCTAATCAGTACCTCAGCTCTGCCTACTTTTCTTATAAAATAGGCTTTTGTGGATGTTCTTTCATGCATTGTTGCATTGTTGATGCAGTGAACCTATTAACTGTGTATATCTTTTTGAAAGTTAAACACAGTATAGCTAATTGAAATTAAATAATGTTGATATTTAAACATGTTTCAGGTGGAAAACTGTTATAAGAGAAACGTTCAAGGCGTCAAAGTTTCAATTGAAAGACGAAAAACTCGATAGAATTGCCGACCACTTATTGGAAATGTATAAAACTTCAGCCTGTTGGCAACACGCCTACGGAGTACCCGGTATATTGTCCTACATTCGCAACAAAAAAATTCCCATGGGCGTTATCAGCAATTTCGATCCCAGATTAGAAGCGATTTTGATAAACACCAAGTTGAAACACTATTTTGAATTTTTGCTCACATCTTATGAGGTAAAACTTATGAGGTATAATTTCCATTCATCACACTCATATATTATTTTAGAATGGATTTGAGAAACCAGACAAGAGAATCTTCGACTTGGCTCTGGAAAAATCTAATCTGACTAATTTGAAACCAGAAGAATGTCTGCATATTGGGGATAAGCCTCACTTGGATTATGCAGCTGCCAAAAATGCCGGGTGGAATGCTTTCGTCATAAACGATGGTGATTTTAAAAGCTTCAAGGAGAAATATCCGGAATTGAACCAGGAGCATTATTTCAGCAGTGCCTATCAGCTACATATCACTTTTTTGAGGAATTCGGGCGATAAATTGTCCACCGCCGAACAAGACCTCAACTAAATAAGTTAACTTATACCTATGTTTATTTGATAATACATTTATTTTTTATTGAACGTATTTCATCCATTAATTACTTTAGATTTCTACAAATTGTTATAAATAATAGGGGTCGCCGAGTTTCCAAACCCAATCCATAATAATTGATGATCGGAATTTTCTAGAAAATGATGAAAGGAATGGTTCAAAAAAAATCGGCCAGGTTCAGGTCAAGGCACATCAGTCAGCAATCGGATCAGTTATAGTGATACCTAGAATTTTGTTATCAGTTAAGCATAGTTTGATTGAATTCAAAGTATTGTAATGTCGTTATTTTTGTGGCATCGTTTTTTGTAAAGTTTATTCAAGTTGGGAAGAGTAGCTTGCTTATTTGCATACTTATACTTGAAACTTAGGTAACATTTGGTGTCAGAAGTGAGTCAGGAAAATTTCATCAAAGATCAAATAAACTGTACCCTCGTTTTCTTGAAACTTGCTCTTGCAAAGAGAAAAGCAGGAAAAAGAATACAAATAACTAAAAGAAATACAGCTAGAATAGGATCGACTCCAGAAAATGTTGGAAGAACAAGACGAACGATTGAAAGCCTAAAAAAAACAGGAAGAAGAGGATCCTGGCTCAAGAACTAATACAGGAAACTGAAGAACATCACAATAAAGGCCAGACCAGAAGTCAGACAACTGAGAAAAAGACAATTTTTTCTTACAAGAAGTCGAGGGCAAAACAGGAACGAACCGAGTGAAAATATGAATAGTCAAAGTTCAGTTCGAGAAGGAATAGGGAAAGTTGGAGTAGCAGATGAAAGATGGTAGGGATGTCCAATTCTAGTGACCAAATTTGGACGGCCAAACAACCTGGACAAATTGGCGATGTTCAAATGTCGGTCGGTTTCTAGCTGATGACAAAAATTCTCTCTGTATTTGTCAAGGATTTACCAAAATATTTGATAATTACTTCAGCTGCTATTCCATTTTGCAAAGCGTCTCCGTCTAACACAAACTTTTGTCTCGACGATTGGATTTTAGCTAAGAATGGATGAGTTGTTTTATTTAATTTGGGTGTGTCGTTAGCAGGTTTGGGATGGGGAAGATTTACATGGGGGTTCAAAATAGATGGGTAAATTCTTGTAAGGCGGACCGTAGACTGTGGAGTTGTCTGGATCATATCTCGTTGCAGTTAGGCTGCGTGTAAGAGGGGATCCTTGAATTTGATAGCGGTAAAATTTGTCGCTGATTTCGTCCAGGCAGTCAGACATATAAAGAATGGATGCTTCCGCATGCATGTCCCTTATTCTGGCGTACATGGACTCTGACAGGACTCCCCTCAGAATGCGGTTTTGGAACCGCTGAGAGCGGTTCCTTTGTGTGGTTGAGATGATGTTCCCAGACAGGGGCCCCATAGGTTAGGGTCTTGACTTATACTGATAACAAAAAGGGCAGCAACACAGTACCAAGTGCCCTTAACGACATTCGGAGACGAATAAAATCTTACAAGGAACCCAAAGCAACATCGAAAAAGTTGTTGGGACGATTAAGACCTGTTTTTTCCGCAGAACAAGATAAGAGATGGAAAGTAGGCTTTTTGGCCTTGGCACAAGGTAATTGAGGCTTCTAGCCTTCCAATTTGCCGAAAAAAAATAAAATTGCACACACCTTCAATGAAGTTAAAGGTCTGGCAGGGCGTGATTGGATCTACGGGTTTCAGAACAGAAATAAAAATATTTCTTTGAGACTAACAGAATACACGTCAGCAGCAAGAGCTTCCGCGTTTAATAAATTCAACGTTAACTAATTTTTCACTCTTTTGGAAAAAATACTAGAAAAATACAAACTTCTACCGAGTAAAATTTTCAATTGCGACGAGTACCACGGTACCAAATAGGCCTTCAAGATTATTCTCTATGAAAGGCAAAACCTCGGGCAAAAAGCAAGTTGGCAGTCTTTCTTCCGCTGATGAAAGAGGCACTTTTTAACAACAGCCGAAATATGTTTCAACGCTGCTGGATTTCACATTCCGACTCCGCTGATATTTCCGAGAGTGAGAAAATGCCTAGCACTTGAGCAAGGACTTCCCCCGGAATCAATAGTCGAATATCTTCCGTCTGGGTGGATGTAAAGTGAAATATTTTCAGAAGCCAACTGAGACTGAACCGCTGTTATTGGTTTTCGACAAACATGCTACACACACAAAAAATATGAAGTTGATCGAAAAAGCAAACAAAAATCATGTTCATATTATAATAATTCCGCCACACACATCTCATCGTCTACAGCCCCTAGATGTAGCCTCCATATTTCCTCTTAATTCATATTACCAACAAGAAACAAAAAAAATGGCTTATTAATAACCCTGGAAAGGTAATAACTTTGTACCAAGTTGGAGAACTTTTTGGAAACGCCTAAAAAAGCGCAACAGCCACACAAAATGCGATGTGCTTCTAGAAGATTTATTCAAACCGGCAGAGGTCACGAATAGGGCACTAAATGAAGAACGGCCATTAACTCCTCAACCCCATCAACAACAACCCGATAATCTTGAAATTAATTACTCCCCACAACCAGCTCCCTCCAGCGCTAGAACTCCGTCTCCCATGATTCCCAGAGTGCTAGCTAGAAACCCACAGTTCACATCAACTATTTTACGGAAAATCAATATTGAAAACTTATATTATTCACCAAAAGACATATAAGCCCTACCAAAAGCAGGCGGAGCAAGTGCTCCGAAACGAAAAATAAGGAGAGGAGAGACGGTGGTGCTCACATCAACCCAATGGCCCTAATTATGAAGAACTTGAAATTGCAGCGTATGAAACTCGACAAAGCCAAAGAGAAATCTCCATTCTCCAGTACACACTAAAATGTGTGATTTTTTTTCTAAGAAAATCACTCACATTTTCCTTAAGCCATGAGATGGGGCAAATTTACTCATTGCCCAGGGCGGCACAATACCTAGAGCCGGCCCTGCCTATAACATTTGTCAAAAAATACTTCCTCCCATAGAGCTTCCTCCTAAGAGGCAGTGCCAGTGCTCCTTCAAATGAGACACCGTGTGGACTGCTTTTTTCGTCAGTTTATACTTAAATCATGATTAAATCAGCGGTACTAAAAAGGTTTACATCTTGATTTCAGAGTACGATACCTTAAAGATTTTTATGTAAAAAAGATACTCCATGTTAAGATCGATAAGGGTATAATCGTTTTTGAAGAAATTGCAAATTTCTACATCGATGCATGTATTACGTACTGAACTCCTAAAGAAGTAATGAATTTTGTGCTTAGCTTAGGCTTAGATTCTGAATCAACGTCAGAAGTTTCTGCAGTAGATATACCAATGTTAATGTTTTCAGTATGAACGGCTTTGAAGCGATTTTCGAGAAGGACTAAAACCATTTTTCTCGCAATGATCACATTCGGAATTCATGTGAATTAAAGGAACCTCACGATAGTTTGCCACCATATTGTTATAAAATTTCTTCTAAAAGCTTCAAAAATGCTTAAAAGTAACTTTGGGAAGTATTTAAGAAAGTATTGAGAAATAATGTGGCATTACCTATTTTTTTGTAATAAGCTGCATAAGTAATAACTATGCTTTCCTAAATTATGGAAGTTCTGTAGGCGAGGATTAGGCAATAATTCCTATACCCATTTGTAGCCATCAACGACAGATTCCAACGCCAGAAAAAAGACCCTATAAGCCGGCAGCTTGTATTTCGGCCGTGTCGGAAATTAATGCCCAATTTATACTAATGACCTTTCAGCGCTGCCATTTGGCCAACTTTAATTAAATTGGGACGACAAGCAGGGACCAATAATCAAAATGTACCGCACCCACGGGGGTTAAAAGACTATAAGGGCTTCAAGGGCGTTAGCGTGTCTATTGTTCTCACTTTACTTATGAGGAGCTTCTCATTTAATCAAGGTTGGTTTGGGAAAATGCTCACTTGACACGGCATAGGTATACATTTAAATATTTCAGCTTCTGATGAACGAGAGGGCAAAGGATAAAGCCATATTATCAAGTTTAATGAAAGTCTCTTGGGGTACGTAGGTAATGTATCCCAACTAGTAGAGGTAGAGGGTGGATTGAAGATTAAAGGAAAATTAGGGATGACATTATTATATCGAGCAACATATAAGATATGCTTGGATTAGAGGCTGAGAGGGTAGTTAATGAATGTGTTAAATAACACTTTTTTCAATATTTGATTCAAGTGAAGCCAATATAGTTTTTATTGAATTGCTCATACGTCCTTCAATTAATTTAATAGGGATTACAATAATAATAGGTAATTGATTCTCATTAATACATACATAAGTACATATAGGTATTTGCTCTAAAATATTCTCAAAATGATATAAAAGGGCTCCTATTTCCTGATAACATTCAACAGCCCATATCCACTTTCCATTAAGGACCCTTCTCATTTTCCTCCCAATAGTTTATTAGAGGAGGGAAAATGGATTTTACATTACTCTCTTCTAGAGCATGCGTCGCTGTATTAGTCAGCGAGTCAGTGCACTTTCCAGGAATAACGGCGGTTGTTCCAGGAAAAGCTCAAACATTTTGCCCGTTTACTAATGGCACAGCTGATTTCCGTGGAAATTGAAAATCCACGCACACCCTTTCTGTATCAGTGTTTTCCGGGTCTCTGTTTAATGGGAGATTTCCGCATCCTTCCAAATATTTGTATTTATAATTACATTAAATAATGAGTTTTTTCTCACAGTGATGAAAAATGAAGTAATGAGAAAAAAAATTAGTGCATCAAGCGCGTCCAAATGACTTATATGAAAAAACATTTGGTTTTGTTTTTTCTGCTTTTTAGTGTTTGGGAAGTGAGTTATTATGTGATAGGCAAAGTCTTGCCAGAAGGTATAGAATGATAGTAATGCAAGTTTTTAAATTCTCCAATTATTAATCTTCTTGATTCGAATTTAGATTTCACCTCAGATTCTTGTCCACCTCCTCTTTTGGCTCAAAACGGTTCCCAAACCGAAAAAGGAGAGTCGAGGATACGCAAAGAATATTCCCATATCAGAGAAGTCAAATTTTCAGGATCTATTGGTCCTTTAGGCGAAAAACGGCTGTGCAAAATCAAATGTATCGGTGGACAATGGGTCGGACCATTGTGTGCAGATCAACAAGGTGAGATAAATTATGAATTTGTCCTTATTTTGATGTTGATTTTGGCTTTTTTTTAGATAACGGCCGTTTTCAGCCACTGTTCAAAAACTGCAAGTTGGAATATATCAATCCACATTTGCTGGTTACTTTTAAAAATATCACTATACACGTAAGTGTCTTAATATTTTATCTTCTGGTTAATTTATTGATAATTGGGACAACAATTTTGCATCAGCAATGATTTATTTTTGGTTCTTTTGTTCGGTTAAATACAAAAGTCTCAATTTTCCTATATGTAGGTACTTTCCTTATTTTCACTAAACTTTTCTAATGAAATAAATCTTTTGATTACTGAAATTAATGGGTTCATCTCCAGGTTCAGGAACCTCATGATGTCACAAGTATTAATTCCAAAATCTATTTGCATTAATAGTTTTTGGTTTTTATATTTTCTAATCTGCGTCTTATTACTTGTTCCTGAACTTAACTTTTATCTCCAAATATTCGCCTCCGTTATTTAAGTAAGTAGGTAAAATATATATAGATATCTATCTCCTTGAATCATCTTTCCAGCTCCTTACGACCTTACAGTACTATTGCAATTTACATAATATAATTATTTGTCCTCTTCTTATAGAATCCAGGAGTAGTTTTCCCTCATGGTTCCCAACTGCAAGTACGTTGCAACGAACTAGGTCTCTACAAATTATTGGGTACCGCAACGCCGCGTTGCCACAACGGCGAATGGACCACCAGGCTACCGAGTTGCGTTCCAACAACAATGTTGACGAATTTTACTGGTAAGCTGGTTGCTAAAATATAATCTGATACAACATGAAGTATATTTTTTCAATTTAGAGGACTCTCCACCAACAATTCTAATAAAAATTCCCTCGGGATCTGCCAGCGTGGAACCGGGAGGCGACCTGGCAGTTTTTCCTGGATCTACATTGCATTTCGAATGTTTGTATCCAAGAAGGGTGGGATCGCCTGATTGGACTTGGACCACTCCGTTAGGGCAATACTTGACAGGTAATAATTTTTACTATTTATATAGTAATCATTCATACTTTACTGTATAGATACTCTTTCCTGTGATTAGAAATTTATTTCTGTCTCAGTACTAATGCAGGACTGCGAATACTTCCATAAAAGATTGATTTGAAATACGCCAAAAATTAATATTTCGCATTAGGCCCATAATATTAGTTTTATTGCCAATGTTGCTCTAAACTAATCTTAACTGTGTTTCAGTTAATGGTAAACTCTCCTTATTCAGTTACTTCAATGCTTTCAGTAGAAGTAGAAAGTCACTGTATTTTTTTGGCCCAGATAGATTTCAGTATTATTCTAAACTGTTCCATTTCTGCCAAAATACTCTTCCTAATGATCCAAAATGAGCTGAAACTTATCCAGAAATAAAACCGATGGGATGGGGAAGCTCTGTTTGTGTTCTTCCTGAATAGCTTCCATCCAGTTTTTGGAGCCATCTCAGCCAGAACATTCCTGTGGAACATTACCAAGAATCGATTTTGTTCCAAGTGAAATGGTTACACATAATCTTCAAGATATTTTCCTTCTCCTCGTCATTAGATTTAACTTCATATTCATCTCTCTCCGCTTTCCCGAATTTAGGTAAAAAATTGTGATTTCGGCTGACCAATTTTGAACAAATTCTCATCAAATTTGACATCATCTTATATCTATAGAGATTCTGTTGCATATTCCATTTATTCAGCTCTCTTGGTAGATGAGAATATGCAACACAACCAACAATTCGCAGTTTTTCTAGACTGGGCTTTTGTTCAAACCCAAACCGTAATTCTACTAGTATAACTGCCTCTCTCGGAGCTTTTGGTTGAACTTTACCAAATAAATCGCAAATGCTGAACTGCTTCCGACGAAAAAATCTGTATCCATTAATAAAGAGAACATCTTGTTTTTCAATAAAAGTTCTGTGCATCCTTTCAGCAACACCGTTCTGTTTGAGTACGTAGAAAATCTTTCTTCTTGAAAAATTCTCGAATTTCTGTCGATAACGATCTTTTCAATTAAATTTTGCTCTGGTCATAGCAAGATCATCATTTATGTTCATATCAAGAAAAATTCAGCTTTACTTAAAATCATCAATCAAGGTCAAAACATACATTTTTCCATCGTAATATGTTGGATTTATCGAACCAAAAACATCATCACTTTGTAGCAGTTCTAGTGGCCTCTTTGTTTTCGTTTTCTCATTGTTTGTTTGCCCTTAACTTTATATGCATATTTCTCAATAATTTTCTTCATCGTAGATATTTCCAATGAACAAGTTATATTTACATACTACTTATCCAAATTTTCACGATTTATTTGAAAGCATTGCAAAATGAGTTTAATCCTTTTGAAACTTGAACTTTACCCATACATCATCTAAATCTTCAGCAAGAAACACTACTTCTTTTCCTTAGGTAATAATTGTTTTTCAATTTTGGCACACACTTTTGCATCCAGGAACATATAAAGTGCATCCGCAATAACCTTATTATTTCTGTTTCTACTTCATCAACTTTTGTCTTTGTGTTCAAATCTCCTACTTTTGTCGTTTCCAATTTTTCTCATTCTTACAACTTATTAACTCAATAATGTCCTAATGTTTCAAAGTAACATAGGTACCCACGTATTTTGTTGCATCACTTTTCAAGTAGAAAACTCAGCAACCCACAACCCACAAGGAGTTACTTGTAGAAAACACAGGACTGAATTCTTCATCTACTTTTGCTGGAGCTGCTTTTATTATCTACGCCTTTTCTGGGTTTTCCCCGTGTTCTTCTTCCATTTGGGTTCCACCAAGGTTTCGTTTTGATACCTACTCTATCCATTTCCATTCGTTGTGCATTCCCGACTCCCGTACCATACTAGTTGTTTGTTTTGCTCTAATTGGGACATTTTAGACGAGTGAAAGGTTTTTGTATTCTGTTTATTCTGATTTTTTCATTTTCCTTGAATCTACAATCGACTCTTCTTATGTTCAGAACGCGTTCACATAATATGTGATTGTAGCAAAACGCCCCAAGTACTCTATGTAATTAGTTAGATGGTAAATGGCGAGCGGTTTATTGATGGTGTTTATTTACTTGGAGCTGCTACCTAAATCTGTGGAAGGGTCTATTTGCAAGAGAGAGAAACAAACTATTGAGGTGTACTAAATTATATTTTATTATACATAAAACCAAAAATTTTTAATCAGCCAAATACTCTTCCATTTCTGACAGCCTCATTTATTTCCATAAAATCAATTACTTCACATCCGTTCTAAAATTGTTATTATTACGGACCACTGAAATATCCCTACTAATAAAGAAACGCCCTATTCCTACTATTCCTCATAAATTATGAGTTAACTCATTTCAATACTCCTGATTCATTCCTAATAAACTACCCTTCACCTAATTATATAAATTCTTTAAAATTTCTAAGTTCTTTACTGGACCTGCTTATGAAAACCCCAAAATAATTACCTATTTGTCTATCAATATAGGTATTACTAAATTATTCTTATAAAACCTTACAATAATTTCTACTTGAAAAATGAAATCCCTAATTCAAAAGTTCGGCACTTAAGATCATCAATGTCCCTTGACGAATAACAAATTTCAAATAATACGTCTAATTATTATCGTCAGCAGTTTTATCTCATGAAGGACAACAGTTCTTAAACTAACCACTCCATTACATTGAATGATAACCGTCAACAATCTTATTTCATGCACAAGTTTCCTTTCGACACATCCCATTTCCTTTTTAACAGAACAAATTACTATCATAAGTTTCTTTTAACAACTTTTCAATATTTTAAGACAATTCTATTTCAGGAACATCAAGATTCTTTTCAAAATTTCCTATTCCATTTAATTAGAACAATTACTATTTTTCGCCATCCTGTCTAACATACAAAATTATTTAAATTCTTATAGTCCGTTACTATAAGCCTTTAATCTTCAATTGGACAATCCAGATCAAACTTCTTTAATAATCCCTACTCAAATCGATACTATGTATGTTATGTTAAGTGCATTATAAATTCCCTACATATTTTCTTTGCACAATTAAATTAGAATGTCATTATATCTGAAGGCAACTAAAGTTATGCAATAATGTTCCATTTATAAAACACTCGAGTTATTAATATTTATGCAAAAAAGTTCCACAGTTATTCATAAAGTCAAAACTTTGCACACGTAAAATTACTTAATTAATTACTCAAAAAATTTTTTAGCTAGCACGCACATAAATTGAACGAATTTCAAATGTTATTTCTTGCACAAATTTTTCCGTATTTTTTCTAAGACCTTTTCCGAGGCCATAAAAAAAACTTTTCGCGAAACCGGGCAGACTTTAACTCAAACTGGACTGGACTGGATCTCTCAACTGACAACTTCCGTCCACTTCTAAAACCGCGGTATTTATATTAAATCGATCCCCCTGCAAAGTATTATTAATTATCCCCCAAATCGTCAATAGGCGGTCGTTTGCCTAGCAATCCGAACTCCATTGGCCGACCTAAATATTATTAAAAATAATGATGCAATTTCCTTGAAATTTTTATCATTCTTGTTTAAAAGAATCGAATAATTATGTCGCAATATCCTAATTTATCGGGGTCAATATATCTTTTTTTTTTTGGTTCAAGAATGCCATAAATCATTTATAATTACTTGGCCTCGCTCTTCTAAGTTTATTGATTTAGGAGATGACACAGGCTTGATGACAAAACACCTGATATAATATTAAATGTTAATTTGTTCCCTTTTCAATTTATTGATACTGATTTGAAGATACCGGAAATTCTGTTTTTGATTATTTGACATTTATTAAATTTTTACAGTAAAGACATTGTGATTTATGGGTCTATTTTCTCGGAATATTACATGATATTTGATTCTGAATTTTTGAGTGATTCGTTTATTCCTTGGTACTCATGGAAGAAAACGATTTTACTTCATCATGGCTAGATGAATCTTCTTCTTATTTGCTTCATTCATTGACCAATTTTTGATAGAAGATGGCAAACAGACTTTCAATTCCTCTAGACAACGGACGTGGAGAGTACCTGGTCTGATATGATTTTGGCATAGGAATATGAAAATGCCCTTCAAGATACTTTACACAGTCGACGAGCAATTCTAATTCACTGAAAAGTACTTTGGTATGCTTTCCACAAATTGAAATTTGTTCCATGGCAATCTTTAACGAAGTCTTAGTGTAATTGTTTGTACTCTCTCTCAAGCACATCATCAATCATTTAAAGTTTATCTTGCTCTTTCTTCGTCTTTTGTTTCTGAGACTTACCGAACAAAAATAACTTTTTTGGAGTTCCACTTCTCTAGAAAATTGAACAAATCTCATCGTCTGACGTCTGTCTAATAATACCTCTATTCTGTGCTTACAAGTATTTATTAAGTATAGTCTTTAGGATACAAACGGAACAAGTCGAAAAATAGTATCCTGATATTACATTATACAAAAATATAGTAAAAATATCTCAATAGGTAACGAATTTAAAAAAAACATAATATCTAGCTAAAATTAAAAATATAGTACCTATGTAGCAAAACGCCCCAAGTACTCTATGTAATTAGTTAGATGGTAAATGGCGAGCGGTATATTGATGGTGATTATTTCCTTAGAGCTACTACCTATAAAAATTTGTGGAAGGGTCTATTTACAAGAGAGAGAAACAAACTATTGAGGTTTACTAAATTATATTTTATTATACATAAAACCCAAAAATTTAAATCAGCAAAATATCTTCCAATTCTGACAGCCTCATCTATTTTTCTAAATTCAATTACTTCACATCCGTTCAAAATGTTATTATTACGGACCACTGAAATATCCCTACTAATAAAGAAACGCCCTATTCCTACTATTCCTAATAACTTATAAGTTAGCTCATTTCAACACTTCCGAATCATTCCTATTAACTACCCTTCTCCTATTTCTATAAATTCTTTAAAATTTCTAAGTCCTTTACTGACTGCTTATGAAAAACCCAAAATAATTACCTATTTGTTTATTAATATAGGTATTACTAACTTATTCTTATAAGGGCCAAATTATGGACCAACTGGTAAGTGTCTGGTTGTTACCTAGCAGGTACTTTCTATTCTCTAGTGCATAGAAAGTACCTGCTAGTTAACAACCAGACGTTTACCAGTCAGTCCATAATTTGGCCCTAAATACAATAATTTCTACTTGATAAATAAAAACCCTAATTCAAAATTCATTTCATGAACAATAAGTTCCTTTAACAACTTTCCAATATTTTAAGACAATTCCATTTCATGAACATCAAGTTTCTTTTCAAAATTTCCTATTCCATTTAATAGTTTATTTAATCAGAACAAATTCTATTATAAGTTTCCTTTAACAACTTTCCAATATTTTAAGACAATTCTATTTCATGAACAACAAGTTTCTTTTCAAAATTTTCTATTCCATTTAATAGTTTATTTAATCAGAACAAATTCTATTTCGGATTCCTATGCCTAGCTAATAAACCCAACTGTTTAATTCATAATTCCTACTCAAAATTGTATATTGTTAAGTGCATTATAAATTCCCTTTATATTTTCCTTGTAAAATTAAATTAGAATGTCATTATATCTGAAGGCAATTAAAGTTATGCAATAAATTCCAAAGTTGATTCACTTCATAGTCATTTATGATTTGTAAAGTCAAAAGTTTTTTCTAGTAAAAATCACTCAAGTTTTTAGGCATTAAAAGTCATTTACTTCTTATCATTCAGAATCATTGATAAAAGTCAGAAAATTATTAACCAATAAAGTACTTACATTTAACTTTTCACACGTAAAATTACCTACTTAATTACTCAAAAATCTCTAGAGCCCGCACATAAGTTGAACGAATTTCAAATGTTATTTCTTTCACAATTTTCCGTACTTTTTCTAAGTTAAATCGAACGCGTTTTCCGAGGCAGCTTCGCGAATTTTACTCAGACTGACTCATTGGTACTGTAGACTTTAACACAAACTGGACTGGACTGCTAACAACTGGCAACTCAACTGACAACTGCCTTCCACTTCTAAAACCGCGGTATTTATATTTAATCGATCCCCCCAAATTTCTCTGTCCATGACAATTAAGATGATGAAATCTCCTTGAAATTTTTGTCATTTTATTAGTTTAAATCGAATAATTATGTCGCAATTTCCTGATTTTATCGGGGTCAAAAACTTTAGTATAAGAATGTGAGGGCAACACAAACAAAGCCGACACACGTGCGTGCCATAAATCTTCGATTTAATTACCCTGTCCTCGTTTTTATTATTTTTAAGAATTTAATTTAGATGACATAGGCTGGGTGTCGAAATACGTTAGCGTTAATTTGTTTCATTTCTAATTTATCGATACTGATTTGAAATATCGGAAATTCAGTTTTTGATTGTTTGATTAAATTTAATTTTTACAGTAAAGACATTGTAATTATCGGGACTATTTTTCCCGGATCATTACACCTATATGAGAATAGAACGAAAATAGGTACCCTGCATCAAAACATCACAAACAATATCACATATTGTCCGTCGTTTTTAATCTGAGACTTTCCGTATGAGGAGCGAGGTGGTGAAGCATATGGCAAAAACAGGTGTGACGACAGGTGACCATTGGCGTTGTAACGTAGGGAGCCACCAGCTCACATTCCTTTGGAGTATCAGATTAAAATTGACGGGCTGTAGACAATATCACATAGGTTTCAATGGAATGGCAACTATTCCAGAAGCTTCAACTTGAGTTTCCTTCCTTAAAAGATATTAAACCTGTGGAAAATAAATCCAGGTTACAGTCGGTGCAATGTAAGTTAGCAGACTTAACCATTCTCACCAAAGGTGCATTCTGACTGTAATTTGTTCTACAATGAATCTGGGTTTCTGAGTCTTCGAGCAGGTACATACATTAAATTTTATTTTCGAAAGAATTGTTGGAGAACTAGAGTGATTATATTAACAATTTTAAATAACGTAAAGATATCTGCCAAAGCTCGTCTTTTCTCCAGTTCTAAAATTCTAAAGTGGGATCAAACCAATGAGTAATCATGATCTACTCTATGGAAATTGGTTTTATAGCATAGGAATCTTAAAAAATTATTTTGTATTTTGTATTTTCTCCAATCTATCGATTTTGTTTTTTATATCTAAGATTCCATATGACTAAGGCTGTAGTTTACTAAAAGCATATGAATCATATGATCTTTTATTCTCTCCAAGTTTAATCTTAATTTTGACAGAAAACGAACATAGTTAACATCTTCATTATGTGGTAAGTAAACACAACATAAATATATCTTTACATTACCCACAGTCAAACGAGCCCAACAAACATCTTCTGCCTCACTGTGATATTCTTCGAGCGCCACTGGATCGTATATTCATTATTAATTACAATGAAAACTCCCCCACCATCTTCTTTTTTTGAACAAGTGGTGATCCTGATGTCTCTCCGGAATATTGAGTGTGTAGTAAAATCAGTCAATTCCTGATCCAATATGCCATCATTTAATCAGGACTCCATAACAAAACTGGTATCATGAGAATAACTGTCGTATGACAATCTAAGGTATAATCCGTTTTATTGAATAGGCGAAATCTATGTAGATGTACTTTTCTTCCTGAAACCTTGTGGGATAACTTTTTTATCCAAGTATCGGTGAAACTTTCTAGCCTAGCAGAAATAAATTGAAAAAATAAAATTTTAGATTTTTGACAACACTATTATTTTTTCCCATTAGGATGGGCAATAGCGTCAGAGGAAAGAGACTGGAAATACCGACTATCCATATACTATGCCAAATCGCAAGATTCAGGTACATTCACTTGCGCCACTCCCAGAGGCATAACCAACAGCGTATCCGTGCACGTAGTCGGTAAGTAAATTTAATCGAACTCGATTTTTTCCTTAAACCCAATTTCACCCAAAAGCACTCTTCCAGATAAAACGAAAATTTAAATTTTAAATTTGCATCTTGTCTCTCCGGCTAACGGATTTTCTATTTTAATTTTTAAAGTGTATAAATTACTTTAAACCCGAGGGTTTATGCATTGCTATGACCCTTATCCGCGGATTTGAATTTATGTATTATCGTTCCGATTGTTTTGCATTCAAAACAAAGAGCTAGGTACTAATAATTTTGCAGCGCGACCTAGTTTCTTTGTAATTGAATTTTGGTGTATTCGAGGGAAAGAAATTTCCATGAGGGTTTTATGTTATGAATTATTAAAGAATAATTAGAGCTATACAATTAATTTACATTTCTGTATTCAATATAGAGCGACAAGCATAATATGTATTTCATATCATAAATGTCCCATAGTACATACTTCATTTACATAGTAGGTAATTGCATTGGTACCTACTAAAGTTTTCCTATATGTTACTTACAATTTTTTCCTTACTTTCACTAATACATATGTATATAAACTTCTTTTAATTACTTACAGCACGCACATACATTAGATCAACCGTTTTTAATTTTCTTACTTCTTGATACGAGACTCTCAACTGAAAATACTTTCCGCGATTTCTTTTCTCAAATTCTCAAGTACGATTTTGAGCTATTTCTAAAGACTGCTCCATTTTTTCTTAGATGCTTCATAATGTCGTTTCTTGCAACATGTACCTATGTAAGTAATATACAAAATTTCCTCTTTTCCTCGAATTTAGCATAGAAAATAGAACCAGAAACCCAAACACAAAGAAAAGAGTTACATACTATATCATCAGTTTGTCTCATTTCTGTTTTAGCCGTAACATGTGAACCAATTTCAGTCAGCGGCATGCATTTAACCGTAAGGGTAGAAGGCACCAGACTCGGACACAGTGCACTTTTCCAATGTCCCACCGGGTACGTGGTGAGCGGTTCTCCGAATTTGACGTGTCAGGCTTCTGGCAAATGGTCGTCGTTGGTGCCGAAATGCGAACCGGTTAAATGTCCTCCATTCAATACACCAGGCGGCCTGGAAGCGCCCCATTTGCAGCTGGAAGAGCACAACAACAGCTACGGAGGCCGAGCGGTGTTCAGTTGCGCTTGGGGCTACAAATTAGTGGGCGCGCCGGGAATCGAGTGCGAGATCAGCGGAAATTGGAGTGGGAAATTGCCAAAATGTGTTCGTAAGTCATTATCTTAAATATCCCTATTTTTAGTCTAGTACCTACAAAAGGTACGATGGACGCATTGAACTAAACAAACATTCTGGAACGGACGCACTGCTTTATGCTAGTGTGCCGAATTTTGATATATGCAACCCAGCAATACAGAGGGACTGTTGTCTCGCTCGCACTCATTGCGATTAACGTAAAAGAAAGAAGATCTTCTTCATCTTCCTAACCTCAATGATCCAAACACTTCAAACAGCTGTTCTCAATAGCTGCCATAGTACAGAGAGAGATGCAAATCCCTCTTGTTTGTTGTCCTTCCTGGATTCCTGGCACAAACCCTTGCGCAGAAACATTATGCAGGATGGACGTTTTTTTGAAGTCCGTTTAATTTCAAAAATTCAAAACGTCCGAGGACTAGATAAAACGTTTTTAAAAATGACATATAAAACTCATCCGAAATTCCGAAATATGTGCACAAACCGTCCATAAGCAAAAAGTTCTGGATAAAAGTTTTGGAAATTACTGTAATATGTTTTTAAAACCAACAACAGCAAATAACGTAATGTCCATGTCAGGGCTTTTTCAAGAAGGTATAAAAAGGACGTTTTTCAGACGGTTAATTTGTTTGAAACCTCCGGTAGGAACAATAAAAGAACGTTTTCTACAGGTTTGTAAAAGTGTGTTTCTAGAAGAGTCATGAAAGGAGCATTTTGAAGGTTTCTTCTGTTGATCGTTTTTAAGAACACAATTAAAAACATGTATTTTAGATAATTATGGATACAGGACGTACAGAAATTAATTCGAATTAAACTTTAAGTCTTAAAGACTTTGAAACATCCATTCTGACCATGTTCGACGTCTGCATGTTGTTTGCAAGGCTGCTTGTAATTTGCACTGTAAAAAAAGTCTATTGGACGTTCTTAGATACTTTGAAGAACGTCTAGTAGATGTTCTAAAAGTCCTTTGAAAAACGTATTTTTTCGTGCAAGTTACCACAGGCTGGGCTCATGGATGAGCACCCAGTATATGGTCACAATCAACGACTTGGTAGGGAATTCTGTAATTTTCGTTTTTATCGCGAAACTAAGCGAAAGTTAAGTTAAATCATAGCGAAGTCGATTTTTGTTGATATTCTATAAGGTGTTCGCTTCGCTTCCGCTTCGTTTTTCTCGTGTCACACGACTAAATTCGAGTTTAAACGACGTCTGTACACGGGTTTACCCCCACCCAGACCTACACTCTGGATGCGCCACTGCAATAAACTTGCACGATCAATTTTATATTCCGATGAATCCCGATTTACGAATAATGGAATGTTTAATAGGCAGGATACTAAATATTGGTCAAGAGAAAACCAGTACAGAATGAACCAGGGAAACTTTTAGGATAGGTTTGGATTTAATGTTTGGGGCGAAATAATGGGAATGAGAATTATGGGGCCAATACTCTTTCAAGTGCGGTTAACTGGGGAAAGATATCTTGGATTTCTTCGAAATGAAATAGAAGAATTCCTAGAAGGTTTGCCTTTAGGAATTGAGAGGGATATCTACTTTCAGCAAGATAGAGCCCCATACTCCACAATACTTATGTAATGAGGGATTACTTAAGGGAAAGCTTTGGGAACCATCTTATAATTACCAATGGACCACTAGTGTGGCCACCTCGTTCCTCAGATTAACAACTAAAAACGACAGATACAACAGTAAACAAACAATTCGCGATCCAACATCCATAAGGTCGATTTTTGCATGAAAAGCCTGGTTGCCAATAATCCGATGTGATTTTCAATATTAAATGTTTTCACGGATAATCATTATTTCAAAATATGTTTTAACATAATATAAATGTTTTTTTTATATCAATCTTTGTTGAAACATAACTTGAACGCCTTTTTGAAAAAAATAATTAGTCTTTTTATAATTTAAATTGGTGAAAATTCGGGAAGAACCAGGAATATATGGCTCGAAAAACGGCACATCGGCAACGTTGCATCTACGAGCAGCCAATCAGATGATTTTAGGTGACTTATGGCAGCCATAATGGATTTCGCACTGTTGCTGTGAAGTGATAGAGATAAATTTTGTGATTTGAGTGTTAATCAGTGGTATTTTTGGATTTAAATATGTGGAAAGTGTGGTGGAGAACGTTAAAATGGTAAATCGATGTATTATCTTTAATGATTCCAAGCACATTTTAATATTTCGGCGGTAAGAAATTTGACATCATTTTACGCTTGACATTGGCGTAGATACAGGATATTTATGGTAATTTATTGTGAATGGCAAAATTGAGAGGAAACTGAACACACCGCCACTGAACAGTGTTGCCATTTTATAGGTCTATCTCTCTCCTACTCATGTCAGGGACTAAAAGATGATTGATTGTAAACATGGGGCGATTTCTAAATGGCATGTTTGGTCTCTAGTTTTATTATTAGTCTGAGCCTCGTTCCCTAGATCTTACGGCTCCCGATTTCTTCCTTTGGGGATATTTGAAACTTTTGAAAGATAGGATATACGCAACACCTCCACCCTCTTTGGACGTTCTTCAGAACCGTATTCGTGAGGCTTTTACCATCTATAACTCCACAGATGCTAGAGAATATTATCAGGGTAAACGTTTTTCGAGTTAGGCAGTGTAGAGCAGCACATCTAGGATATTTTGAGAACCTGATCGGTGGCTAGTGATATTGCTTATCTATTTATGTTATCCCTATTATAAGCTTTTCATTTTAAAGTATTTCATTTATTATTATAGGCCCTGCCTTATGCTCATTTAATTTCACCGATGGAACCACCATACTCCATTCACATCGGTGAAGTCACCAATTAAAATATAGAAACATTCAAGAAGTTAAACTCGCTTTGGTGACAATCGCAATTTATGTTGTCATGATAGGACCAAAATAAATAAAAAACTAATTATAAGCGTGAGAAACACTCTTTTGCACGTTGAGGAGCGTGTGAAAAACTCAATTTTCAGAGGCGGTTGTAGAAAAAAGATTGATCCGACGTAAATGGACGTCAAGCAAAGCTTACATGGGTCAAGTGAACGGTCATGTAAAGTGGTAAAGTCAAGTAATTTTTTTTACTTGGATCGAGTAAATAGTTCCGATCAAGTCAAGTAACGACTTACGTTAAGTAGTGAAGCAAGGCAAGTGAGTTTGCACAGTGGACAAGTAACTTGAATTGACTGTCATCCCCACTACCACATCACTTGCTCCTCTACTTGACCGTTTATTTTACCAATATACAAATGAGTCCAGTTTAGCTAAAGTTAAGTTAAATAAAACAGGTGTGGTTCCGCCATGTTGAATCGACTTGCGCGCCTACTGAACTAGACGCGTTTGCTTTTCTTGTTGGTGAGTCAAGTCAGGTCACTTGACAAAGTATTTAAATCATTTAGCACGTGATTACTAGTGATATATCAGTTTCAAAGGAAAAATCGTATGTGTGTGGGCAAAAAGTGTCATTTATCGTGTCGTTTGCAAGTGCATGTGGTCATGTACTAATTTTCAACGTGATAGTTTGCGACGCGGCGTTTATGTCCTCAAACTAGCCTCAAAACCGTGACGTAGAATGTCGTGTGGACACGGGTGTGAACTGCACTATCATGTACTTGAGTACTGACGCTACATTCCAGATGAAAGCACGTCTGAAAAATCCCTTCCCATTCTATCATTTCGTGCAGCCTTTCTCACTCACGCACATGATTTTTCACAGGTTTTTGCAGATGACACGATAAACCGCGCGAAATAACGTGTGTGTATGCCGGCCTATTGAGCTTTCATGACAACATTAACCACCAGCTTCTTGCCATTCCCGATACCGGTGCTTGTCGATATTTTGTGAAACCCATCAGATTAGAAGTTGAAGAAAACTTATTAAAAATTGGTCTTTTCAGAAAGTTTCAATACATCGTTGGTTTTATTTTCAAGCCAGTCACCAATTTTAGATGTTGGTTTCATATTTCATTTCATTATTAGTTATCACATTCACATAAAATACCATTTTACCAATTTTGGTATTTGGTTGACAAATGATAAGTGAAAATAACGCATTTCCATTTCTCTACAGTTATGTGAGCCAAAACAAACAGTTTCAGGCAAATTCTGACAGTCTCAACTCAAAAACAGGTTTCGTCTAAAAAAATTTAAACTTCGTCAAACAGCTTCAAATTTGATATTTCCATATACAGAATAATCCCAAGATTTCAAAACTACTAAAAGAATACTAGGTTGCCATTTACGGAGTTATAGTCACTTCCGGTAAAACCGGAAGTTGCTAGACTTTTACACATACGTCAAAAGATGACATTGCCAAACCCAAACTCTACACCAAAATTCATGTCGATAGGAAAAGAAATAAAAAAATGCCAGAGTGAAAGCGACATCGTAGACATCCGGTATATGAAAATAAAAATCGAAAGTTTTTAATTTCGTTTTAAATGAAGTCGACGGAAAAATCTTGTAACTAACTCATGTATTAATGGCGATTAATAATCTCGCTCAAACGCGCTCGCTACGCTCACGCGTTAAAATCTCTCGATTATTAATCGCTCCCATTAATACACTTGTTTGTTAAATAACTATTATTGAATCAAAATTATAACTATTTTCAACTAATCTGAGATTATCATATATTTTGGAGACCTACCTAATGTTTTTTAGATATTTTATACTTAGATTAGCTATAGCAGTTGCATTTTTATTTATAATTTTTTTGTACTTTGGAGAATTTAGATAGTAACATGCTTTGTCAATAGAAATTTGATTTGATATCATAATTCAAGTCAATACACTGTTAGTGTGAGCCGCATTCATAGTTCAGCAAAACTAACATATTGTAGCAAAACGCCCCAAGTACTCTATTTAATTAGTTAGATGGTAAATGGCGAGCGGTATATTGATGGTGTTTATTTCCTTGGAGCTGCTACCTATAAAATTGTGGAGGGGTCTATTCGCAAAAGAGAGAAACAAACTATTGAGGTTTACTAAATTATATTTTATTATA